AAAAAAAAAATGGAAAGCCAATTACGCTACTGTTATTATTGGCGTGCAATGATACTGTTAATGTTTATTAATTATTTTAATTATTAATGCTATTATACTGTATTTAATAGTGAATTACGGGTTTAATGTATTTTAATTTGAAATATAAACATGGCATATATTTATTACACCATATATCCTAACATTGTAACCCTTAACCTCAACTTGTATATAACTATTATTCTCGCTGGTTACATGTTTAAGTTGAAAATTTACAAAATATTTGATAATATGCAAATAATATTAAATGAAATTTTGCCTCTCCTATTTGTTCATTTCAATAAAATTTTCGAAAAATATCTTTGATACTAGCAATTTACTATGATAACCCATATGCTGTTATCACAATAAAGATTTGTTTAATCATACTAAAAAAGTGTATTATTTAATCAGATAATTATCACTGCAAAAACTTATCCAATCATTTCCGTAAATTTTTGCAACCATTCTGCAAATATTTTAAAACATATTTAATTTGAAAATATAAACATGGCATATATTTATTACACTATATACTAACATTGTAACCTTTAACCTCAACTTGTACATAACTATTATTCTCGTTGGTTACATGTTTAAGTTGAAATTATACCACAATTCATGAAATTTTAATGTACATGCCAAACAAATTAATGTCTACACTTGATAGTAAGACCAAAAAAAAAAAAAAACTAAATTAAAAAATCGGTTCAGTTTTTTTTTTTAAGAGATGTAAAAATTTGTTAACTTATAGCATTTTTAATCTCTATTTTATCAAATTATCAAAGAGGATGAAGCGATCATATACCGGATAATGACAAGTGGTATGGAATTTCTGAGATATAAATTTAGTAATTAAAAAAAAAAAACTAAGAAAATTGGGAAGGCTTCTTTTCTTTTTCAACTATCTGTAAACTGAATATATTACAAACAAGATTGTTAATCTTTACATTTCAAATATACTTGTTTTTTTTTGCATTTCAAGTATTAAAATAGGAAGAATTAAGTGTTTAAACAACAAAGCTATTGGAAGGAAAACAGTCATCGCATAAATACTTCGAATGAAAAAAAAAAGAAAACAAAATTAGAAAATCTTGAAAATCTTTCATTTTTGCCAAATAATTTCTTCTCTATTCAAATATCCAAAAAAATTTCATTCTACTATTAAACACTTATGAAAGAGCATTTAATTGTAAATTTTAAATAAATGGTTCAAGAAAATTGTAACTGAAATGAGCCCATTAATATTCACAACTATCATTAATTAATTGAAAAAAAAAACAGCTCTTAAGTTAAGATTTTAAAATTTTTTTTTTTGTCAAATTTAACATATCCATTGTAAATTTCTCGAAATTCCAAAAAAGAAAAAAGCAAAATGTTGAACAAATTTCAAATGATTCATATAATTTTAAAGGTAAAATGATCACAAGAAATCCCATTTACCTGTGTAATTTATCAAATTTTAATAATAATTTTTACAAAATATATCAAAAATGAAGCACTTGCCATATAGCATCTTATCATTAATTACTTTGAAGAGTAAGTAATTTTTGATTTTAATCAACAATTATTCAAATTGTAAATTTGTTTACTTATCTATTTATTAATTCAACTAGAATATGATTTTTAGTTTGGTTGGAATTTCAGGGATTGAAATTTTCAAAGAAATTTATTATCGGAATATTTAAATCTTAATTAACAATTATTTATTAGTAATATAAAATTTATTTATTATACTAAAATATTATCAAAATTAAATCTATTTTATGTAAAATTTTTTGCAATATTACAATTTACAATTACAGTGAATTATTTTAGTATTTATTGAAATATCGAAAAGATGAATTATTTGTTGTATGTATTATTGATGACGTGGAATTGTTTGTTTATGAAATGAGTAATGATAGATATTATTTTTGTTATATAAGCAAATGAAGTTTCAAGTAGAAAGAGTGGAATGGTAAAAGAGAGAAATGTGAAGATGACAATCTTTTATGCATATATTTGTCAACGATCATTTTATTGAAAGAGATGAAAAGGATTTATTCTCTTCTACATTAGAAGATTCTCAATTACGTTTCTAAAAATTTCATAATTGAATGATAAGATGTCAATTCTACTGTTTCTCTTACTTACTACAGCATTGTTCATCATATTTATTACAGGTACCAATGTTGAAAATATTGATAGTGATAGTGATAATAATGATGATATGATGAAATGATGATAGAGTGATAGTAATGATGATACGATATGATACAGTGATAATAATAATATGATTAAAGAAGATGAGGATAATAATGCTAATAATAATAATGATAATAATAATAATAATAATAATAATAATAATAATAATAATAATAATAATAATAATAATAATAATAATAATAATAATAATAATAATAATAATAATAATAATAATAATAATAATAATAATAATAATAATAATAATAATAATAATAATAATAATAATAATAATAATAATAATAATAATAATAATAATAATAATAATAATAATAATAATAATAATAATAATAATAATAAT